GTGCGATAATTCTTTAGTAGAAGTTGAATTTCGCCTCTGCGGATATACCAAAAGCCAAAAATAATAATGGACAGTGTCAAGAAAATGATACAACGTTTTATTTTTTTGTCTCCTCCTTCGTGGACCAGTCTGCGACTGTTCAACGTGAGCATTAGGTTTTTTAATTGCCTTTGGGAGCTCTGAAAGCAACTGCGAAAAAAGCCATAAAAATGAATTTGTCTACTGAGGCGTAGTAACATCATTCTATCAGTAATGAGTCGAGAGAGAATTGGTGAACAACAGAAAGAGTTGTGAAAGGAATGTGAAAATTAGAAAACTTCGAAGATTCAGAAGCAGAGGAAGAATGTAGGAACGCAGAAGAATAAAAAATTCTAAGAGTAGTTGATGAAAAATGTTTTAAAACTATTTACGGCACGCTCTACCTGAATAACGAGGTAAAAGACGTGTGAGACATCGGGCAGCGTTCTGATAAATAATAAAAAAAATATGTTTAAACTACTGAAAATATTCAGAGGATTTTTTGCAAGACTGCTGCATATTAGCGTTATAACTGAATGTCAGTGTCAAACTTTGTGCAGTTTCTTGTGGTAGCGACTGTCCGACTATCCAGAGTGGATTTTTTGAGATGTTTCTCATTGCAAATAGAGTGTTTCGTGTTTGTTATTGCTCCACCGTAGCTATCCAGTGTAAGGTGTGACACGCGTGTTATGGAATTTATGGCACTGATTATTTCCCTTCTTTCGAATACCACTTTATTTTCGTGGCCTAACAACTGCTGGTCGCCTCAAACTTTTTGTGTCGAAAAAATTTTTGCAGTTTTGATGTGAATTCATTGCATCCAAACACTTTTACCACTATTTCTTCGGTTGAGTTTCTCACAGTGAACTTGTTATACTTGCTGGATCTGTAGTATATCTGAAAAATGAAAAAAAAAATTCAAATTTGGCAAGAAAAAATGTTCCGAAAAATTAATTACCATGACACTCAGAAGCGCCGGATTTATACAGAAACAGATATGAATTTGTAACACAGCAGCGGTATAAAACTTAGTCATCTATAAATGTCATTTTATAGACAAATTTGTCCGAAAAACCTCGTACAATTGCACTGGTTTTTATGTGTGTTTATGGAGCACAGTTGACAAATACCAAAAGATGTCTGCAGTCGAAAGAAGCATCAGTTGGGTTTAATCCTAAAGCGGTTGATGCGCTAAGCACGGAAAGCAGATAAAAATATGAGTTACGAAAAGAATACCAATAACGAGAAATAGAGTAACTGTTCAAATGGCATAGGTTACTGGAGAACAGTCACGACATATGTAATATTTTAAGGCGTTACTATCAAGGATTGGTATGATGCTTATCTAGCGGCA